TGAGGCATACAATGAACCTTTCTGTTTGGCTGAACTACAAGCCTCACTTACCTGCTGCAATAAATCTACGCCAGGCCCTGACCGTGTAGCATATGAAATGTTGAAACATCTGCCCACTGAAACTCAAAAAGCTCTCCTCTCCCTCTATAAAGAGATATGGTCTTCCGGCGAGCTACACACAGCCTGGAAGGAAGCTATCGTTATCCGAATCCTAAAACAAGGCAAGGACCCGGCCTCAGTTTCCAGCTACAGGCCAATAGCGTTAACCAGCTGTCTTTGCAAGGTCTTTGAGAAAATGATTAACAGGTGCCTCATGTACTTCCTTGAAACTAATGGCCTGCTTGACCCATGCCAGTGCGGGTTTCGAGAGGCTTTCGACTACTGACCACCTTGTCCATATCAAGGCACAAATTTGTGACACTTATGTTCATACAAAATTTTTTTCTTTCTGTGTTCCTCGATATGGAAAAGGCATATGACACTAAATGGCACTTTGGCATATTGCGAGACCTGTCGCATTTAGGTGTGCAGGGTAGAATGCTAATAATCATCGAAAGCTACCTGTCTAACCGCACATTCCGTGTCAGAGTTGGCACTGTCTTATCTCGAAGTATTTGTCCAAGAAACAAGAATGCTTCAAGAAGGTGTATTGAGCTGCACACTTTTCATTGTGAAAATGAAATCCTTGCACTTGTCTCTTCCACGTAATATTTTTTACTGCATATATGTTGATGATGTACAGATTGGTTTCAAATCGTGCAACATCTCAATGTGTCAATGTCAAGTTCAACTAGGGTTTAACAAGGTGTCTCAATGGGCAGATGAGAATGGTTTTATACTCAACGCGCAAAAGAGCACTTGCGTCTTGTTCTGCTGAAAAAGGGGCCTCCATCCTGATCCCGACATTGACCTGCACAGTCAACCTCTGTCAGTGAAGACTGAGCACAAGTTTCTTGGGCTAATATTAGATACAAAACTAACCTTCATCCCACACATCAAGTATTTAAAAGACAGGTGCTTGAAAGCAATGAATATTTTGAAAGTGTTGTCACGCACTACATGGCACAGTGACAAGAAATGTCCGAGGAATTTATATAAAAGCCTCGTACGCACACGCCTACATTACGGTGCTATAATCTATCAGTCGGCAACACCATCAGCCTTGAAAATTCTGGACCCTGTCCACCATCTAGGCATTCGCCTCTCTACGGGTGTTTTTCGAACTAGCCCTGTGGAGAGCCTGTAGGTGGATTCGAATGAATGATCGCTCCAGCTACAAAGATCTTGCCTGTCTTTTTTGTACTTTCTGAAGGTAAAGGGAGATAAGAAACACCCCTCTTATTTCACAATTAATGATTTGTCTTGTTCTGGCTTGTTCGAGAACTGTTCTTCGTTGAGGCAGCCCTACTCGCTCCGTGTAAGGGGCCTGGCCGAAGAAACAGGTGTGCCTCTTCTCGAACACAGTTTGATAGCTCATGCAGCATATGTGCCACCGTGGCAGTGGCACGTTATAGAGTGTGATGTCTTTTTTGTTGAAGTCACAAAGCACGCACCACTTGCACACATACTTACTTCCTAGAACTACAACATAAATACACATGCCTTGAGTTCTTTACCGATGCTTCAAAGTCTAACACTTCTTTGTCATATGCAGCGGTAGGCCAATCCTTTTCTGAGGCCGGTATTCTCCATCCTGATGCAAGAATTTTCACAGGAGAAGCTTATGCAATACTGATGGTCGTAAAACACATTAAACAGATAAAATTACAAAAGGCGGTAATATACACAGGTTCCTTAAGTGTGGTTAAAGCCCTGAAAACTCCTAAAAAACACAGAAACCCCGTGCTGGTGTCGCTTTACTCACTTTTGTGCACACTGTACACATCGAAACAGCATGTCGTTGTCTGCTGGGTGCCAGGGCACCGTGAGAAACAAGGGAACGTTTTGGTGGACAAGCTGGCTTCTTCCGCCAACGAGATCACTTCCAATGCATCAACACTAATCCCTGCGCTTGACTTGAAACCTTTTTGAAAACGAAAGCTCAGGGGGTATTGGCAGAGCACGTGGGATAGACACACAAACAATAAACTCCATGCTATTAAAACTAGGTAATTGGCCACCACTATCAAAATCGCGACACACAGAAGTAACACTAACAAGGCTTAGAACAGGACATACACACTCTACACATTCATATCTTCTGTCTACCAGCAATCCATCATTGTGTGTGAGATGTGGAGAACCACTTGCGGTTCTCCACATTCTCGTCCAGTGCAATGAGCTAGATGCTCTAAGAAAAAAGCATTTTACTGCCCTACCGACAGCAGCTCCCACTACACCTTGGGATGCTCATCGGTAAGGATCCACTTTTTAAACTGCAATCGCTTTTCACGTCTTCAAAAGATGTTCATAGCTTTCACCCCATATTTCGAGGCGATCCGTAGCACGACCTCTGTACTGTGGTTGTGGCTGACTACATCTTTGTCATGGTTTTATGAGATTTTGCCATCCATTTTCACTGCACATATTTCACGCCACTGTCATGGTTTTATTACTTCTGTGTTTTTACCCGCGTTAGCACGAGGAATTTTAAGGCCCCTTTACAGCCATGCATCATATAATTGTTCATATCTCTAGTCTATTGAAATGGCGCTCTTTGGCCGTCAATTAGCCCTTGCGTCATTAAATACCACTCATCATCAGACTACGACATGCACCACGATAGCACCAGGATAGACTACACATGCGCGGTGTGACAAGAAAAAAATGTGGTTAATGAAATAGACGCGTATTTAGGTTTTCTATACCGCAGTGTAACAGATGCACACATGGTGTAGTTTGTGGTGCACCTGCACACGTAATTTATACAGCTAGAAGTGCAAAACATCAACATCACAAAAATATTGTGAAACACCACCCAAAGCGTTCTGCGTTTGTTCCCTTTAAAACACAGTCTCTCATGCTTCAATGCGTGCAAACAGCCTGCAATCAAACTGCCGTAGCCCTATGAGAGCAAATGTCTCCGCCTAGGTTCATTGCGCTCGTGCAGCTGATGCCATCGCTGGAGAATCACGTATACACAGGCACAGAGGCTGTCTGCTTCATGACCGAAAGCACTGGTGCCCCACCTCAGTGGTGCCCAGACGCCACTGAGGTGGGGAGTAAAGACATTTTACGGCAGCCTTTCGTACTTCTGTCCTCGTAAAAATGTTGGATGCTTTAAAAAGCAGCACTAATAGCGTGTTCCTATGAATGCGGGTCTAATTGAGAATGCCGAATGCCACCTTATAAGTAGACTCTGGTGTAGAAAATATGCATCCGGTTCGACTGCCACGCCGAATGTGTTTCTCGAACTCATTTGACTGCTTAAGTCGTTTCATTCTAGTGACATTATATATCGCTGTGAAGCAGCCTCAAAATGTCATTAGATGCCAATATAATTTCATTTGAATGACATTAAAATGTCCAGTGTGACAGTGGTATTACTGTTCTTTCCTATTGTGTTTTATACCCCACTCCTGCAATAGTCCTGCATTGGGCAGGAGTATTTGCAAATAAAACAAATAAATAAAAAACCAGATGGCGTATGTTTGAGTTAGAGGTCATTAATCATATGCTCTATGCAACCTTCTTTATTCAGCAGTATAAAATTCAAGCATATTTCACCTAAAATGGCTCATATGTGCTGCATTGATCTTTTTTATGATATACTTTCAATGTTAGCCTTGTGCACTGATTCACCTATTTATTCTCAACTGAGGTTGTATGTGTTTTAGGTTTTTGTCATGGCACTTATTAGAAAGGTATTGGTGACTGTTGAGCTTTGTTCCTGGGATGTTCTAAATTATTTTCTGCTGCAGGTGTTATGAACGATGAGCATAAATGTTTGTAGTTCAAAGATGTATATGACACTACCATCAGCCAAATCTAGCTGCTGGCTTTTTTTTTCTCACCTGCTAGCCGGCTTTCGTAAAGTATGTAAAGAAGTGTAACAGCTTGTGTAATCGCTAGTCCTGCGAGATGTTCTTGCCAAAAACTGATTAACAGCTAGTCATGTTACTAAAACCTCAACATCACGTAACAGCTAGTCGCGGGACAAGTCTAGCCATACTTAGTGCTACCAGAAATAACTTAGAATCTCTGTAAAAACTTCGCATTACTAGGAAAACTTAGCCAGGTTGAATACTAACCTCTCTGATGGCATCAGCATTGCACCACTAGTGCGAGTTGCGCACTTCTTTTTGTGGTTGTTATTCTCTTCTTTCTTTTCTTTTATATTGGATATTGCAAGCTTGTATGACGGCTCGGTTGTAAGCACGTATGACGACTTGGTTTATTCTCGGGAGCGAACAAGTGCCATAGATGTGAAGCAGCACACACCCGAAAAACGATGATGATTATGAGCCCAAACAGACGATGATGACTGACTGCTCCTCAAATGACGATTAAGTGCGTGATGTATGCCTATAATATGTTTAGTTTTCAGTGCAGGAGTTAGCTGCCAAGAATGTGAGCATTAGTTAATCCAATACTTGCTTACACGGGTAGGTACGGGATTAATGAAAAAAATAAGAGTAGGCATGCACCATTGAGCATTAGTTAATTTCGTCTATCTTAATTTTAGGTTATTGTCTGTACAGTGCTCTAGAAAAGCCATTTAGCCGTCCAGCACTTTCTTAGCAAGTTGGTGTTTTCGTGTATTCATGTGTATGTCAGTAACACATGTGGATCCAGCGTCTATTATGATTAGGAGTGTGGTTAATTATGCTGACCTTACTTCAGCATCATTTCTTGCTTTTGAATTACTATTACTATTGTGCAAAATTTTATTGTCTAAACTGGAACCCCCTCCCCCTTTTTTCATATCCCCTTTGTTTATTATATACTTGAATTGGCTTGCACCTATATATCTGTGAATGGCACAGGCATTTTTCTCTACACAAGTTTTGCACGAAATGTGGTAGTTCTGGTTTGTGACAGCTTGGTTCGACTGGTTGCAGCTGCTTGGACTGGCCTAGTTATGACGAACCTCCTCAGCCAACAACTCGATCTAGGCAGGTCTATCGGGGCCGTCAGTCACGTAAGTCAGCTTGTTTAAATAGATAAGTGGGCTTATTAGAAAAGTCTAGAAGTTCTAGTAAATATTGGTGTATTAATAAAATACATTATGTAGTATAGCATGTTTATCATATAGGCAGTCACTATGCCAAAGCAACGTAGGTAACAAAATTTTCGATAGCCATTCCACGAGTTCCATGCACCACTGATCTCAGGTGCAGTAATTTGGGCAGCCACAGTAAACAGAAACACTAGGGGGGAAAAGCAGAACTATTAACTCCAAGTTCTTGCAAGGACTGGCCAGAAATGGCTGTATTAACTTCAATATGAGAGTCATACTATAAATGGTGAGATGTAAAAACTTATAAGGGATAAGTAAGTTTTCAATTATCATTTCTGAGTAGCCATATACAACAGTCTTACTTTTTTTCTTAAAAGGCAATTCGATGTCATTTAAGGTTATAAATCGGACACAAGTTTCTGTAAACCTGCTGAACACACGAAACTTTGTGGGAACAAGATGCCAGTGTGGACACACACTGATGTTCTATTGCCTACAATATGCAAACATAAATGTCTAATTTATGTAGCCTTGTTTAAACCAGCTAATGGTGCATTTTCATTGCCCTCAACATTGACACTTTAAACACAAGTTATTAGGATGTAGTGCACGGTAGTTCACTTTAATAACACCTTTTCTCTCATGAACAGGGTGTTATTTAAATCTTGCATACTCCAAAAATTTTGCTTATAGCTAATCTATAGCTAATCGTTTTCTTGTGCGTTTCAAGATCGCCCAGAATGCTATGGAAATGAGCCTTAAATCTCGGGGAGTGAGTATAAGAAGCGCATGCATGTTTGCATATGCTCCTGATGAGAGGAGTGCCAAGCAGTTAACATGATGATGGATGTGAAAGCTGGTGCGCTGTTCCTATCTTAACCTTTCTGAAGCACACTGAGCTTTAATGTGTTCTCCTTTTTTGTAATTTTCAGTGCGCTGGAGCTGCAAAAGCACAGCCTGTACTGCTGCAATTTTTAGGCTCTAAATTTCTAAAACACAAAGCAGCAAATTAACAAGTATTGCATATGTAGACACACCCTCAGTTCTGCATTTTTGGTTTGCATTGGCATCATTTTCACCAATCATATTTAGTAGCACAATCATTAACCTGATGTGTGGCAACACACTGTAAAATTTCGGAAATGCTGGGTATTATAGATGCTCAGCTAAAAAAAAAAACTGAAATTGGAGCATCATTGAGCAATGTGCCATATTAGCGATTTTTGTCTCATAAAATATTAGCAATAAAACTGCAAAATAACATTTCGTAAACGCAAGTTTCTCATAGTATGCCAAGAAAAATTTGGAAACTCACAGCTGCAGTTGTTCTTTTGTAGAATCTCATAGATTGTTCTTCTGTAGGATCTCGTTTTGCTCAGTGGAGGCTTCTGAATTTTTGACTAGGATAAAATTTTTTTTCTGCAAAACTAAGGTTGATTTTTTTGGCCCGCCCTGGAGACTCTGGCTGCAAAATATATTTATTTCAGCGATAGTAAAGGGCGTCTGCAGGCATGCACTGGCTTTGTTATCTGAACACACACTCTTACTGTAGTCATTTAGGCATGCGTAGGATGCATGTGAAAAAATTGGCCTCATATCTGCATGTTAATCTACAAATGTCGTCGAAAGATGATAGTCTTGCATGTGGAGAGAGAGAACGAAACATTTATTTGATGTTCTGTGCCAGAAAATTTGTGAATGGTATTCTGGAGGCGCTGTGTTAGAGTGCCTCGAGCGTACAGCGGAGGCGATCGAGCGCATCAAGTCTCATCACATGTGAGACATGAGTGCTATCTGGCAGTTTTCTTTAAAAACGCTGCGCGTTCGAGACGGGCGGCAGTGGTGATAAGGTGAAGAACGCAAGGCTTGGTGCCACCACCGTATCATCTTGGCAAAGCATTGGAAACACTCGCCTTTTTGTGCAAGCATTGCATGGTCAGTGCAGCGTGATAAACGCTACGGTCCTTAGAATTACTTATGTATGCCTTTTGTAGTAAAAGACGCACGTGCAGATTATATACGTGTTGTTATGGTGCCTCAGATACGTGCAATAATTGCTTTTTAATCAACAATCGCACAAGTATGAACGCTGAATTTTGAGCAACATTGGTGGGTGCTGCAGATGGGGTCGGCCGTTTGTGGTATGGGCTGGTGCCATTTAAAGTACCCGGTACCGTTAAGAGTGGACAGACAGACAAATGTACAGACAGACAGACCAAAATTTTTGCATTGAAGGTCCCCGAGAAAGATTATCGTCTTTAAAAGATGAACATCATGCCAGCACCATTTTTAATGTTAAGAATAACCTATGCGTACGAAATATAACTTTTGTCATTGTGTGACTGACTGTGCTTCTTGTAGCACCAGTTATTTGAGATGACCTAAAATTCCTGCTAGACTTAGACAATTATATAGAAAGCCTTAATGTGAGACTCTTATGCTATACGGTTACTTAGCACCCTAAATTGTAATATCTGATTGGTGTCACTAGATAGTTTAATTACTCTTTATTAGATAACCATAGGCAGGTTGTAGTGATTCTGATTAAAATATCTGTGTAACAATGAGTAGATGTGCGTACTCATTTTGTTTGTCCAAGAAGTAAAATATTTTTGGTGACTGCTAACTAGAAAAAAATTATACTCAAATACTTATTAGAAATGTAATAACAGGAAAACTTCTTTTACCTATTCTATGTAGCAAGGTTTGGCAACCTGCAGCCCGTGGTGCACTATATGCTGCTTTCTGCACGACATCAAAACCTCCACCCCTCCCCTTGTCACTGCCGTATCTTGGCTGTGACTTCCTATCTCTCATCGTATTTAAATTCTTTCGGCAATAAACAAACATGATCTGTATATGCAGACTTTTCTGGTTGTCTGCAAAGCCTCATCTCTCCCCAATTTGCAGACTGGCCACCGCTGTGTCGGCTTTATGCAACTTGGCCCTCTGCCTCAAAAGGTTGCCGACCCCTGCTACTAAATACGCCGTCATTTCAGGTTCTGCACCAGACTTATTGCATATGCATTACTTCAAAAAAAGTGAGGCAAAGAAAACCTTGCCTAGCTAATGAATACTAATACTTGGGAATAACTTTTTCGCAAGCGTTAAAAACAAATTGTACCAAATTTTTATTTCCTGTAGAATAAAAAAAAAAATCACAACTAGGAACATAGACATGTTTATCAGGTGACTATGTCACTTTGACAGTTTATGTAATTAAGTCAAAACCCGCAATAACGAAATCGCCGGGGAAACCAAAAAAAAAATTTCGTTTTCGCGAGAATTTTGTGGCCGCGAGTATGAGACATAAAAACAGTGATACGGCCAGCAGAACGAAAATTTATTGCCAGAAGTCGGTCAACTTACTTTGCTGACTCTTGCCATGCAACAACTTCAAAGCTCTCCCTTCGCACTGGAAAGAGTGGTCTATTGCTACGTCGTCGTAATGTGCGCAGAAGAAAGAGCGCAGGGTGTCTTGGACGGGTTGTTTTGGACGCGCAGCGCGCGGGTTGTTTTGGATGCGCTTGCGCGTCGTTCATGCCCGCGGTCTCGCTGTCAGCGGAGTTAGGGCTAAGCCGACTCCGATGACGCGCCACGCTCGTAGACCGCGCGCCCGCTCGTGGTAATCTGATCGTGCATCCGGTGCGGTCACTCGTAGTAATCTGACCTTGCCGCCGCTTACACGTCGCCACGAATGCGCTAGCGCGTCGTTCCTGCCGGCAGTCTCGCTGTGGGCGGAGTGAGGGCTAAAGACGACTCCGATGACGCGCCGTGCTCGTAGTAACCAGATCGCGCATCCGCCTACTGCTCCTAACTAAAGCGTAATTATATCGTAAGTGATCATCGAGCCGTGAACACGTCACGAGGTAGCACTTTTCGAGAGTCACGTCCTCGCGACGCAGAAGCAGCAGACGACGATCTCCCGGAGCGAGCGTCGGGCCAATGGCGAGGCGAGCTGACGCAACATGGCGGCCACAGCCAATCAAGGGCATCGAAACGACCTTCAAACATTTAGTTTTTGTTTTTAAAGGGAGGAGCCAGCTGAGGCGGGAGGTTTAAACACGGATAAATGCTCTTTCCGAGCCCAAGAAGCCGGCTCCCGGCCCCGCCACCGTGAAGCCATAATTTTGTGAAAATCGCCGTTTTCTCCCGATTTCCAGTAAAAGTATCGCTACCTAGGTGGGCGAAATGAATTTTTCGGAGCACCTCTGCGCGGTTTTCGCGATCCCGAAGCCGCGTCTCCCCTTAAGTAAACAAAAATGGCGGTACCCATGCTAGCGTGGCAAAGGCAGACGTTTACAAATTTTGAGTGCGCATAACACGCATACGAGCATATTTTCGACAGTTAACCTTTGGCGGGAGGGTAAAATAAGGCCCGCACTAAGGCAGAAAATTCGTTAATGCGGGATCGCTGTCCAAAAACATTTAGTTGCCGCGAGATACGTAATACATGGGCTTCTATGAACGGTCGCCGGGGATCCGGAAATATTTCGTTGCCGCGGGGATTTCGTACTCGCGAGGTTTCGTTATTGCGGGTTTCGACTGTACACTAAAGAACTCCCAATTTTGTACACCGATGCCTCGGTGGGAGGAAAGTGCACGTTTATCAGCATGGTTGAACTCTGCTTGCATCTCGTAGCAAAAATGAAAATTGAGTTCATGAGCCCAGTTCAGTCAGAAAGGTGAAGGGTAGACACTCAGCCCAGAAGTTGTTTGACAGTACTGTGATTTCAAAAAAAAAAAAAATCTTTTCCATTTGAACGTTCTAACGAAATCTGCATATATTTAATTGTAGCTGCAATGTGTTAATATGCATTTTCTGTTTCCATATACCCCTAAAGTCATGGTGAAGGAGTCACATATTGAGGAATGCCTCACACGTTTGCACGTCCATACATAAAATTGTGTTCCGAAAACCACAGCGTAAGACCTACAAAGCAAATAGCTGGGAAAATACAGAAAATGGAACTATCATAGCACATGTTGCACGCCAACATTTGTGTGCTTTTTCTCTGCTGTCTAGGTTGAAGCTTCTGTACTTTGCATCAGTTGTTAAAGATGCGACGTAATGGTGAAGTTCTTATCTGAAACACTATATTTAAATGGATGAGAGTAATAGCATTGTAGCTTGGTTATCAGCCCCGCTTTAGGTAGATGATGGGAATATAACAGCTTCAACAGCTACTTGGACATATTTTAACACATTGCGCGACTACGCGGACACAAGAGAAGAAGAGACAAACGGCAGGGCTGACTCGCAACTGAATTTTTATTGGAAAAACATGAACGGAAAAGGCACACTTCAACCTTGACACCCGTGTGATCACACCAAGGCAAAAAACAGATCAGCTGACAGGGTTTGTCCCTTCTTCTCTTGTGTCCGCGTAGTCGTGCACTGTGTTGAAATATGTTCAAGTACTGTCACCAACTGTCCCAGCTTTCAGTCCTTCAACAGTTATGTTTACCCTGTCTTTGCATTGTTCTACCTTGCAGTTCCACTAATGAAACCTGCTAATGCAAGAGTAGGGCTCTGTTTATTTAATTTCTGCTGTTGTTCTGCTATGTGTGCATGTGGTCATTTCCAATGTGTCTCAATTATTGCCGCTCATTTCGTGCGCTGCATATTTATACGCGTATTTTCACGACACTTGGGTTCGGCAAGCACTGAATGCACATTAAATAGTGAACATGTTGGGCTATATAAGGTGCAGTTGACTGTGCGAAGTTTTGGCCGTGATTATTACGATGCGCATGTCGTAAAGGGCGCAGAAAGCTGTGCGTTTGAGCTCCAGTGAAGTCAAGGCGTTCTTGCAGAGGGCCGCACATCCGAAGGCCGAAGTTTGTGGTCAACCTCCCGGGAGCAGCTACAGCCACGCTGCTCGACCAAGTGCTCCTGCTCGTGGGGGATCTTCGGCCTGTCACCGCCCGACCACTGCCGAGCCAGCTGGCACTGAGCCTTCTCCTATTTATTTATTCGCGTATGTAATAAATTCCCCACTGTGAGGGCCGCACCGGTGACTGGCGTTGGCCTAACTAGGAAGCCGCAGCAGCCGCAGCATGGACGGCAGCAGCATAAACCAGCCTGCTACGCGAGTGCTGCCGGCCGCCTCGTGCTGCGGCATTGTGTGTAGCTGCAGTGCTGCGGTCCCGGCGGTGGCTGGCGTGGAGCGGACGCAGGGCGGGCACAGACTGGCATTGGGGGCGACACAACTGAGCGCCACAACCTGGAGAGGTGCGCGGCAGATGCAGGTGCCCTGCGAGCTGCAGTAGGCTCCGCGAGGAAGGCACTGCTCGTCGAAGCTGCACGGCCAGCCGAGCATGGCGGCGTGGCGACACGTGGTGTGGCGGGACGTGAGGCGCACTGGCTGGGCGCCTTCGCAGCGGCAGCGGCCTTGGCGGCACACGGCGCCGCGCGTCAAGCACGGCTCCCGACTGCGGCACGTGTCGCTGAATAGAGAACCCACGAAGACAGAGTCCGAGCTGAGCTTTCCGTCGGCCACAGCCTGGCAGCGAAGCTCGTAGCGGCCAGAAGCTGTGGGCAGCCGATCGAGGCGGTGCAGCACTAGTCCATGTGCGCGCTGCCACAGGTTCTTGCTTACGCGGCCCGTGAATATGCTTTCGAGTGCTGCGTCGTCTGGTGGTCTGCCGTTGATAGTCCAGGCGGTGTGCGCCGCTTGCGTGTACATTATGCTACAGCTTAAGTTGACGGCGCCGTCGCGCAGATACGGTGCCTCTGAAGTGATGCGCACCCCGCTTAGGGCTGCCTGACCGCTGACTCCGAGTGCGGGCCATACGAGCAGCACCAGCTTCAGTACCCGCATGGGCCGCCGGACATGGCTTTTGCTGGTGTTTCTTTCCTCGAGCGATGGTGCATACCCACTATAGTGGGTATGCGCCATCGCTAGTCGGAAGCGCTTATTGTTAAGGTGCTTGCCTCCTCAGTAACTCGGTGCAACGCACTAACGGATGTATGAGTGATACAGTGGTGCCGAAAAGTAGAATAAGAATAAATTGAAACTAAATTAATACTCCATGCACGGCTCCAGTGATTATAACTGTTAGTCTACTCATAAATTTTAGTGTGTGATGCTGTTGGCCTCGCGCAGAAAATTGCACATTGCATCGCAAGATAGCAAAGTGCATGCCCAGCTGGCGCGCTACGTGAAAAGTGTGGAGGAAATAGCATCATGGCGGCCATATTCACTGGTATGGTTACGTGTTGCGCAGTGCGGCTGGTCTAGCAGTGAGCGGCCGCGGCTGGCGGCGGAATGTGTGCCTCCGCAGATCTCGTGTTGAGCCGTGACGGACAATTTCCGTGCTCTGTGCCGCGTTATTGGTTACGCAGTGTTCTCCTGGCCGTTACTGTATTTCTAGTAACGTTTGTAAAACCCTTTGTCGACCACGGGGCCTCAACAGCGCATATAACGAGCGCATATCCATGTGTCGGGTGGCGGATGTCGTGAATGAAGCATTTGAAGTGTTCAGCGAAATTGCGTTTGGCACCATGACGAAGCGGAACGACGACGAACACCTTGCAGGTCAGTGACGGTTGTGCAGTGCTCCTGCTTGTGACAACGGACGAAACTGTTGTGCCCAGCAAGACGCAATGAGGACCATGTGCACATACGTAGCTTCGTGTTCAGTATGCGTACAGTATCAACTTGCATGTGCATATTAAAACACCCTTTCTGTTTCGCTTGTTATATTCGCACCCAGCATTGTAATCCCAGCGTTAAAGAAACCGCATTAAAGTGTAACGTGCACCGTGCTTAAGGTCGCCGCGCTCGCAGAATGCTGACGCCGGTGAGTTTCACGCAGAATACGGGCACAGTGGCCTTGCGCCACGTGGTTGAATGCAACCGTAGAAGGCGCACGACCGATCGTGTTGTCTGTACAGTTGATGAATTAATGACGTGAAAACACTCTCCGTTGTCGGTGCATCTAGCGCGTGTTCTCTTGTACTTTCTTCGTTTTCGGCGAGCTGTTGCTCGCTGTTTATACTCGGACGAAATGATTTCGCGAAGGTGTTGCGCTGGCCCTGAGGGTTGAGCCCCGTTACATTGGTTTTGGATTGTCACGACACGGCAGCTGCCTGCACAGCCCACTTGCTTTCCGAGCCGGAGAGAGAGTTGCGCCTTCTGCTTTACATTCGGATGTAAACAAGAGATGAGAATTTGCCCAGTCAAAATGGTTGACTTCCGGCTTCACCACGGTAGGGTGGCTAGCCACCCTAACCACGACTTCACAACGAGTGTTGTCAGGGCCTCTTTTATGTTTTTCCTTCCTCCATGGGTTAAGACCCATTGCGGCAACACCAAAGGAAAAGATCGTTTCAAGTGCGAAATTGAAGCTTTTTTTTCTGAAAGGGGGTTGTGGTGAACTATGAATTTCTGGTGGAACACAACCGATTGTTCTGCGGTAAATTTAGTCGCAGGAAATCTGGTGCCGACTACTCGGATTTGGACTGTCCTTAGATATTTGTCAGAGTGCATCAGCGTGTATTGGATTGAACTTTTGTAGCCTGGCAACTACACCGCCGCGATGGTCTAGTGGCGGGTACTCGGCTGCTGGCCCTTAGGTCGCGGAATCAAATCCCGGCTGCGGCGGCTGCATTTTCGATGGAGGCAAAAATGCTGTAGGCCCGTGTGCTCAAATTTGGTGGTCGAAATTTCTGGAGCCTTCCACTACGGCGTCTCGCATAACCATATGGTGGTTTTGAGACGTTAAACCCCACATATCTGTCTACACCAAAAGAGGGAAGCGCAATTTTTTTGCTAGAGTGCTTCCAAGGCATTTGACCAACCGCAGGCACCACGGTGTCTCTCACAACCATATTGTGGTTTTAGGACATTAAACCCTAGATATTATTGAGTGTGGTTAAAGGACAAGAATTCTAGACATGGGTAGAATACTAGGATAAACCCTGCATAAATAAAACTGCAATTTTTATAATCTACAGTTTCTATTTTGTGTGCCTTTTTCAGTGCACTGCTACGTCGGCTTCTGTCGCTCCACTTTCCCGCCGTAGCAGTTTGGGTCTTCCTCTCATGGGTTATGTGCGTGTGAGTATCGGAACCGCCCCACGTACGCTTCCGTGACGGCCCCGGTGCTGCAGGTTGGGTCACTAGTTCAGTGAAAATGTAATTTATTTCTGACTTGTCATAAAAAAATTGAGCAGACAATAGTGGGCTTATCCGGCCTAGCTGACCAGCGGGATCGAAATGCGCATGCTCTGTTCGCTACAATACCCGTAGCGTCTACCGTACGCGCGCTATTTTTCAGATTTAGCATCACCATGTTTGCATGGTCCACGTAGTGCGTAGTGTAGGGGAAACATGAAAGCGGTTTCGTACGCTCGCTTCGAACTGATTTTAGCGTATAGGTGTGGATGGATCCACTTCTTTCGTAGCTAACGATAGAGGTGTGCGCCGAAGGTCGGCGCGCCGCCACCGACAGTTTTTACTATGCCGCCGACGCCAACCGATCGGCGCGCCGCCGCCGCCAATGTACCGTAAAAACCCGCGTGTAGTTCGGACCCGCGTATAGTTCGAGGTGTAACTCGGGGATAGCAAACGCGAGAAAACATTTTCACGCGAATATTGTTCGAGGAAAACAGAAAAATTGCATTTAATTGCCTGCAGCCGCTCGATGTGCACAGCGAGTTGTGCAGCTCGTTGCTCCCGAACAAAGTCCGTTAGTTCTCGTTCCACGTCTGGAAATGCTCCATTTTTCGGTCCTCGGAAACTTTTTCTCTTGCCGTAGCATGCAAAAAGGGCTTCCTTCTGCTTCCGCCAACCACGAATGCTCCGCTCATTCACGCCGAACTGCCGCTCCGTGGCACAGTTGCCGATGGTTTCGGCAGCAGAAATAACTTTCCTCTTAAAGACAGCCGAGTACTGCCTGCGCGGTCCCGACATGGCTTAAAATCGCGGAAGTAAAATCGTGCCCGTCGTGATGTGCGCCAAGTGATTGCAATGGCCACTGTTGCTCGCCTGATGCACGCCTGTACCTGTAGGTCTCTAGGACTAACGCCGCTTAAGGTTCCTAGATGAAACAAGTGTCCAAGGTAGCGACACCCTCCCTTTTCCTCCTCGCTTATTTGCCTGAAGCGCCCCCTAGAAGGTTTAAAACTTTCATCCAAAAGCGAATGTTTGGGTTCTGTTGCTACGGTGAATAGATCTAAATGAAACAAAATAGAACGAGATAAGACGTAGAATAAACAGTTATCTTTATGAACATAAACGGCACAACACAAGAGCAAGCGGGATGTGCGTTACTCAACCGGCAACGTTGGGCAGTTCTATACACCACTAGCCATGGCGTCTCGCGAGTCGCGTAGTACATTTTAGTTCCACGGCCGCGGTATTTCATCCAGTTCTAACTAGTCCACTTCTCCGATTGTGTTTTGTTCGTGCTGTGACACAGTGAACGTGCTTCTTGCTGGATCCTGTAAGTGGCCACAGGGCGTGACGTTGTGACGATTGATTACAACCGGCTTGTGCACACGCAAGAAAAAAAAACTACGACCAGACTGGTACTAACGCCCGTCCAGCAGCACTGCGATGACGTTTTTTTTAAATGTGCCCATTCGGACAATCGTGATGCCAAGTGATTCTGATGCGGTGCTGGGAACTTCCTGAAAAGTGAGAGTTCTACTGGTGAGGTGTCTCGAAGCAGCGCGTTTCGGCTTAAGCGGGAACTGGTCAAGAGTGAAATGTTTCTGAAGGTGCGTTGATTACAACCTACAGCTGTTCTGTATACGTGCATACCCACATGTATTTGTACCAACTGGCATGCAGTAGACACGCATTAGACGCGCGCCTGGCGTTTCAATAAAAACCGACAAGTGAACTCGCTTCGCAGATCCGCGTCGACATACGTTGACGGAGTTGCACGAAAGCATTCGCGTGAAATGGTTCATAGTTGCACTTCATGGTGCGCTTCATCTCGGAAAGCACGAGGTAAGTTGAAGAGAGCGAAACCATTTTCTGTTGTTTACGGCAGCGTAGCATTGCTGAAAAACGCAGATGTTGCATTGAACGAGCATGCCGAAACAATCTTGGTCGACTTAGCGCACACCGAAACGCTCCTCTTCTTCAGTTTATGTTCTGGCTACGATTTTGTCTTTGGTCACGGCGAGAATCCGGCTGGAGCCATATGCGCATGCGTACTCGTTTTGAACCTTTTGCATAATAAATAACACCACCAGCCATTTGCAAGATCACGTGCAAGTAATGCACCAATTACAGACGCGGATGGCAGAGAAAAAAAGGAGTAATCGAGAGTGAGGAGGACGGCTCGAGAACAATGAGTGAACAATGAGAACGCTACCACGCCACCTAACGTAGAAGTGCGCAGACACCTGATAATGATGATAGCACCAACCAATGCCGAAACCAAAACTGAATTAGGGCCGAAACTTTTTTTACGATCCGCATATAGTACGGGGCTGAAATTTCGCACCCTAAATTTTAGAAAAAAAAATACCCCGGGCTATACGCGGGTTTTTACGGTATTCTTTCGGCGCGCCATTTAAATATATATTTTTTTCAGCTAACCTACGTTTATTTTGCACCTTCTGTCACCAGTCTGGCCTTAATTTTGTCCACTTCGCAAACGCATTGAAATTGGTTCACCTGCACTTTCAAGTTAAATAAGTGGACTACAAAAAGAACTTGTCGAGTGGTCCTAATAATCTTGGATTAAATTTAAACGTGGATTTTAAGATACTTTTGAGTTCACTGTACTTCAGCGAATCCCTGTCAGTGACAGTGGCGATGGTGATGTTTGGCGAGGACTGTCGGCATATTGTAGCTGATGAGAATCTGTAATATGTGAGGCGGGCTTTGAACAATGATGAAAGATGTGGATAGTGGGTACTGGAATATTCATAATTATGACTGTGCAAGCGAGTCGAAGAACAAAGGCAATTCAAATGCAAAGGGTGGGGGCCAGAACTGGGGACGGGCAGGGTAGAAGCGCGATGTTGATGGAAGATATTGTTAAAACTGAGGAAGGGCTTGCTGTTTAGGGCATATTTACAAACAAAAATCAGTTAAAAAACTGGACCACATCCATGGCCTTTAA